AAGGCAGTCGCTTAACCAACTGAGCCACCCAGGCGCCCAGTAACAGCTTTTCTATTTTAATATATAATCAGGCTCCTAAACATCAAACTAAAATGTTACTCTACCCCTGCCATTTCTTACTTCTTTGTATTTAATTTCAGCTCAGTTATTTTGCTTACTAGTTATGCCTTTTTGGTTTATTTCTATAAGAAGAATAAAACCCTAAATATAAGAGACACTGAAATAAACAAGGACTAATTTTTTTTTATGTGATCAACAGTGTCGAAGAATTTAACAGATCTTAAAGCTGAAAGAAAACCCAAGGGTCATCCACTCTGATTCAGCTGTTGGCCTATGTCAGGGACCCGAGATCAGAATCCAGGTTTCTTTGTTCCCGGTTCAGTACTTTTGAATATTGTCTATTGCCGTAAATTATTCTTTCTGAACCTAAGAATTTTATGCAACTGAAGATGAAATTTTAAAATAAGAAAAAAAGTAAAGTGTTTCAGTCACTTTCCCCCCCTTCCTTTTAAAGGGTCTCAGCCATTGGGCTAATGATGGAGCGGGCCAACTTTTGGGTCCCTCTCTTAGGACATTAGAGATTGACTTAATATCACCCCACTGGTTTTCCTTTTCACATAGATTAACTGGAGCCGGTAGTACAGATTACTCTAACACTAGGAAGTGGCCCCTTTTTTCCATTTGTCTCTAAAATATCAAATCCAAGCCACATGCCCAGGGCATCTGCCATAGGGCATAGTCCACCAATGTGTACCTTACAGAGTTGCTTTTTTCTGCCGCATCCTGCCTTGATACTCCCAGTCTCATCTGCTGGTTCCCCTCCAAAGTCCCTTCCTTCCTTCCCCGTGCCTACTTCCCTTCAGCTGTTTCCCCCAGCACCTGCCTCAGTACCATCTCCCCCTAACCTCCTGATCTCCAAACACTATCTCACTGATCCCTTTTAGGATCTCTCAAAGTCACTACTGGTTTATAAAACACTCGTCCATGTGTTCTTACTTTATCCTGAGAACAGTCCAGCCAGCAGAAGAAGCTTAGTCTAACCCTTAGGGCTTTTCTCTAGGAATAAGTGCATTTTAACACTGATGTTCTATAGACAGTGCTCTACCTTTGTTCTGTCTCTGAATGAATCTAAAGGTAGGAGTTTAAGGCAGGAGGAAACCTACCCATTTGAACTTAGGCAGTGGACAAGATGAAGAAGACAGGGCAGACCTTACTTTAGTTTTTGCAGCTTACCAAAGAGACCCCAGGGCTGCTACCTCGGGGGACTAGCCCGAGTTACCCAGATGAAGAAGTTAACTGGAAATGCACCCTTAGAGACAGAAGGAAAAAAAAATGAAATGCATCCTTGGCTCTACTGGATACTGACTCACCTGATTTATTGTTGACACATGCAAGAGGAGTCTCGGTGACTGAATCTATTAGTGACCATTGGGATCCTCTATGGAACCTATATGGGTTCTCCCTCAACAGGCATTTCTTTATTCTTCACACTTTGGGGTGTTTAAACTTCTGACTTGAGTACTTTAAATATCATAAAATGATTTTTTTTTTTCCAGTAGTTTGCTAAGGAAATCCCTGTTTTTCCTGAGGGCTGATACCAAATGAGGAAGCTGGGTCCAACATGGTGACCGTCATATTATCGCATTTACTTTCAACCTGACTGATGGGTTAGTCTGGGGAAGTCGACAGCTTCACACTTGGATTTAGCAAGAGAAGATGCTCTGGAAGGGTGTGATTTGGTGGGGGCAGTCAAGGTTTTGGAACAGAGGGATGTCCATTTGTTCGAAGGCAGCATAGCATAAGAAGGTGAGGTTTTAATGGAGGCGGTGTGTGAAGAGGTGTATGTGTGAAGAGGTGTGTGTATTTTCCACGCCAGTAGAGGCTGGTGTTGATTCATTATCGGAAGTACCTCAGGGTTTTATTGATGATCATCATCATACCTTAAAACTGGTTAAGTCCGTTACTGTTGCCGAGTCTTGAACAATGTAGCTTCTCTAATACCCATCACTAGCAAGTTCCTTCTAAAGCATGTAATGGAAAATGGTGTAATGTTTTATGACTCACTAAAATATAATCTGGAACAGCTCTTGGAGATAGTCATGTCAAAATGTAGCGTGATTTCAGTTTTCCAAGTTAACGTTTTTCAAATCTGAGATATTAGTCTCCTAAATGGCTAGATGTCCTCACTGTGAAAATGTTGCATGCTGATAAACAGTGTTGATGCCTATCACCTCGTGTCATTATGTGAACTGTTTCCTGATCGTTTATAGGAACTAAGAGAAATACATAATAAGCAGCAACTCCAGAAACAGAAGTCCATAGAGGCTGAACGTCTGAAACAGAAAGAACAAGAGCGAAAGATCATAGAATTAGAAAAACAAAAAGAAGAAGCCCAAAGGTGAGTCTTTTCCTGTGGATCGTGGACCCATCTGGAAGGAACTTTGAGTATTTATTATTCTTTGTGGGGCTTCTGCAAGTACCTACTGATCAGAAAGAGCCTTCAGTCTTTGTGTGTGTGTGTGTGTGTGTGTGTGCAAGCACAAATACGTGTGTATACAAATCTTTGCATATATAAGTACCCCCTGAAGTTTTTGGTTAGTTTCCAGAGCTCTCCCAAGCTACTACTATGTAGATAAGTGGAATTATACAAGGAAATTAGGACACTTGGTATGCTCATTTGCATGCCAATGACCAAAATACGTTTCCAGTTCACAGCCTTTTAATAACAGTGGCTGTCCGGAGTGCTGGTTTGAAATCAAAGCCCCTGAGCACTCGCCACACAGGCTTTCTCCAGTAGGACTGACAGCGTGCCACTCCGACTTCTTTCCTCTTTTCTTCAACTGCAAATTAAAGTTGAGTACAAAAGGAGAAAATTTGCTGCTGCTTAGGATCCAGACACATTTTTTTGTTCGTCTTTGTTTGAATATTTGTGTTTGTGGTTTGTTACTTTTACTGGTAACTTTCTGTCATGAGTCGTAGAAATTTATTTGTTAACTTTTGGTGTGTCTGATTTTGTTACCGGATATTTGCTTTTTAAAGTTCAATTAATTTTTGACGCCAGGAAACAAAAATGACTATTTCAGTGATGCAGTATAAATTGTAAAAATTGGTTATTGAAATTAGAATAAAAAGATGAAGATACAGGGGGCGCCTGGGTGGCTCAGTCGGTTAAGCGTCTGCCGTCGGCTCAGTCATGATCCCAGAGTCCTGGGATCGAGCCCCACATCGGGCTCCCTGCTCAGTGGGGAGCCTGCTTCTCCCTCTGCCCTGCTGTTCCCTCTGCTCGTGCTCTCTTTCTCTCACAAATAAATAAAATCTTTAAAAAAATACCTAACATATTAAAAAAAAAAAGATGAAGAAACATAACTTGAGGCAAATCATTGACTTTAGTGGGCTAAGCTCAGTTAAACTATCCAGAGGGGTACACAGTTTGTGGGCATGTGTAGTACAGTTGACCCTTGAACAACAAGGGGGTTAGGGGCACAGACCCCCCCTGCTCAGTTGGAAATCTGAGTATAGCTTTTGACTCCCCCAAAACTTAACTGCTAACAGCTTACTCTTCTCGGCTGGAAAGAAGCCTATAGATAACATAAACAGCCAATTAACACATATTTTGTATGTTATGTGTATTATATACTGTGTTCTTATGATAAGGTGAGCTAGAGAAAGAAAATGTTAAAATCATAAGGGAGAGAAAGTATATTCAGAGACTGTACTGTCAAATATCCCCGTATAAGTGGACCTGCACAGTTTACCAGTGGACAGGTGGGTAGGGTCTCTAACCAATTTAGAGGACTGTTTTATGGTTTTCTTGGGGTATGGTTCAAGGATTCATTTCTTGGATGTGCTGATTAACCCTAACTCCATCCTTTCCTTATCTTCAAAGTTGATAAAACGCTTTGATTATTCACAGCATACTGTACTGAGCTTTAACATTTCTATGGAGTAGAAGGCAACACAAAATATAATACAAAAAAGGTAAATTTCCTGCTTTACTCATATAAGTAGTACCCAAAAATTAATTTCAGAAATTACATGGTTATACACTATACATGAAGACTTTTTAAGTAGCAAATATTAAGCAAACTCTATTGTGTGTTTTTGTTGTTGTTACAAATGACAACATAGGTATGGGACCCCTTCCAAAAAACTTTTTTGTGCTTAAAAGATGTTTTAAAAGCAAGTAAAACATTAAAGATTTAAGTTAAGAATTTTCCTGCATTAAATTTTCACATGCATACAGGGTAGAAATAAATAGCATATTTTTTAAATGGCGAATACAAGCTTTCTTTGTTTATATTATATTCCTTTGGCAGTTTCCTAATTCCAGGAGATGACTGTGTGTTGGCCATGTCACAGGATAGCATGTTCAGGGTGTGGAGCCTAGAACTGGGCTGCCTGGGATTGAGCCCCAGGCAGGTGTGGCCGTGTGACCTTGGACAAGCCTTTTAATATCTCTGCCTCGTTTTTCTCCCGCGTAAAAATCGGAACGTTAATAGGACCTACTCCCCTAGTGTGAAGGGTAATGGAGTTCGTGTAGGGGGAGGACTAGTTATGACTATCATTGTATCGCTTACTTTTGCACGTGAGTTTCTCTAAACTGTTTTCTGATCTTGAAGACGATCGTACAGTGAGAGAAAAATCGTCCCCGGTCCTGTCCTGTGGGCTTCAGGTTGCGGTCGTCTTAGATGTCAGGGCCTAGATTTCATTGCACTTGTCCCTTCGTGTCAGTTACTTTGACAAACACAAAGTTTTTGGGTTCAGGCAAATGCCCAGAGCATTTTAGTTTAGTTTAGTAACAGGATGGCCACCACCTAAAGGGTTCAAACGAATCTGTTGCTTCCGCCTTCAGTTTTGGGGAGCTACATGTGTGTTCGTCGGGGTACGCGCTCTCGTCTCGTTCGTGCCTGTGTGTGTTATGGCTTTTTGCAGTGAAATACCAGTTTTATCATCGAGAAGTCTCTTTGTTAGTCTTCTAAACACCTGGTAAAATACATCAGGAACCTTCTTCCTGTGTTTTTCTGAGTCCTGTGCTTTCATCATCTCCCTCAGAATTGGAGCCCTGAGAGCCTTTGTCTTATTGACTCCGATAGCTCCATCGGAGGGACAGTATCCTCTCTGCATGAAGCATCCCATTTGCTAGCTGGAGCCTTTTCTGTGAAAAGAGCCCACAGCATTATGAAACTGGAGTTGCTTCCTGGCTGTAATCAAGCATTTTGTTGACAGACGAGCTCAGGAGAGGGACAAGCAGTGGATTGAGCATGCGCAGCAGGACGATGAGCATCAGCGGCCAAGGAAGCTCCACGATGAAGAAAAACTCAGAAGGGAGGAGAGTGTCAAGAAGAAGGACAGTGAGGAGAAAAGCAAACTGGACCCGCAAGACAAGATGAGCCGGCTTTTCCATCAGCATCAGGAACCAGCCAAGCCAGCTGTCCAGGCACCCTGGTCCACCACAGGTAGTAGGGGCCACAAGTCATTCTAGCAAATAGGTTTTCTCTGCCAGATCGTCCTGAGGAAGACCCATATCTAAGGCAGGCCCTGTCTTGGCTCCTTTCATAGAGCTAGGTGTGAATGCCAGGGTCCTTTGCTTCAGACAGTGCAGATGTTCATTCTCTAGGCTCCTGACATGCCAGTTTAATCTTCCACCACCCAGCCAGCCTTTGGTCCCTCTCACACTGGCATCCAGGGCCTTTGCAGACAAAAATGGCATGAGTTTCCTTACCAAGCCCCATCCAGAAACCTGTATTCCAGATTTGGAAAGAACCTGTTGCTTCTCCAGTTTGCTCTTTTCTCTGGGAATTACTGAGCGGTTTCGGGCACCCTTGCCTACACTGATCTGTCTTCAGCCGATGCTACATGAAAGCGTGTTTTTGACCTTTTGAAAACTGTGACTGTTTTTTGCCCTTCGATCGTAAGTTGCCTCTTTAAATCATGATAAATGAAAGCCTTTGAAATTGCTAGAAAACATTATCTCTTGTATCAGATGCAACCTAGCATGTATTTTTGAGATTCTTGTGTGGGTCTATGGTACTGTGCAGCTTTGCAGATAATACTCAGCTGAAGAAAGGGATTGCCTTTTCCTTTGTATGGCAAATTATATCGATTTATTTGTTCGATTATCAGTGTGCTTTTTATTGGTATACAGAAAGGAAAGAAAGAAGCACACTATTCCATAGGGTTTACTTGTTTCCTGTTTATAGTGGGCAGGGATGGGAGTGGGGTTCAGAGTTGGGCCCCACATCCAGATGCCTGCAGTCCAGGGAGAAAGTCTGGCAAGCAAAATTATGTTTTAATGCTGCCTTTGATATGAATAATAATTTCACCAGTACTCAATCTTAGGCCATTAGTTTAAATTCCTATGTTTCCTCCTAGTATAGAATGAGGATTTCTTCTTCCTGTGGTCAGTGGGAAATGTGGCACCTCATCCAGTTCCAGACTGCATGAAGATAATACCTCCCCCTCACTGCTTTTCAGAGAAAATAGATGTGTGGCTAAATACCTACATTTCTAGGGTAAAACAGTTCAGAGGGCCGTGATTAGGTACTATTAAGTGAATCGGAAGTCAGACTGTCTTCTGTTTGCATGCATTTTTAAAAAAAAATTTTACTTAAACTCTAAAGTATTTTCATATAAGGTCTATCATTAGGCTCATTTCCCCCACCCCTGGGAGATGTGGTGGAAGGCTTACTTCACTGGGGATTATCAATAACAATCATTGTTGGTGAAGTCAGCACTTAACGTTTTATGTGATTGCTTTAGCGGCCAAATATATCAGCATTTCCAAATCTTTCAAAAATGTGGAAAGTTGTGCTTCTTTGCTTCCTGCCAAAGGAGTTTTCTTGGCTGATTCAGATTGGGGGTCACATTCTAACTGCTGCATTGAACTCGGCACCCTGGCGGGGAGGGGAGATAGAAGTCCTGATGCTTTACAGATGTGTGCTACCGAAGCCTCAGCCAGGACCTAAGACAACCTCGCTGCAATCAGCATTGGGATGGTCTTTGTTGGGGGAGTGGCAGCCAGTGAACTCCGATGGATTTGAGTTGCTGACACCAGGTTTGGCTCTCCTTTGGCACGAAGTATGTGCTTCAGAAATACCTTGAATAGATGGGAAGAGTTCAGATGTTAAGGTCAACAGCAGGGGAGAGGTCATTTGTTTGGCTTGTTGTCATGCATACGTGTTCCGTGTAATGCTTTATTTTTGTTCCCTTCTTCCCACTGTCTTTGTAAATAGAAAAAGGCCCACTTACAATTTCTGCACAGGAGAATGTAAAGGTGGTGTATTACCGAGCGCTGTATCCCTTTGAATCCAGAAGTCACGATGAGATCACGATCCAGCCCGGAGACATAGTCATGGTAAGAAAGACTCCAGTCAAAGTGTAATTTTCTGTCGATGATTAGCATCTGTCCTCCTCTTGCACTTTATTTGACAGAGTGAAATTGTCGCCGAGTGTGAAATCCAGGGTTTTTGAAGTATGGGCTCAATCTTCCTTTCCTATTAGAATGAAAGATGATATTTAGAAATGTATCCTAGCAGCACTTTAAGATAGAGGTGTTAAAGAAAATGGGTTCTTATCACAGCCTTGGTGTGTTTTTAACTTTGTAAAGGTCTGGTAATTTCAGAGTTTAGATTGCTTAAATACTATGAATAGTCTTTAAGAAATAGTTTTAAATGCAGAATGCTTTATCATCACTTTCACAATTGCCAATGATAACTTTTGTGTCTTTGGGTCAGTGCATCTTTTTTTCCCCTTTAACTGTGTGATCTTTGAATTGTGTGAATTACATACAGTTAATCTGCCTTCTTACTCTGTAAATGAGCAGATAAAAGAGTTCAGAATTTTGCTTTGTCGTAGTTCCTTGAACTATACTAATAGTTAAATAGACTCAAACTATAGTAACCACTTTAAGAAAGAATAAAGCCATGTGGTTAACCTAAATTATTTTCTGAAAGAAAACAGTAGTTCTTCCATCTAGTTAATAACCTCAGAATTAAGAGTCATAGAAGTGGTCAAACTTTGCATTACTGTTGGCATTTTTTGTTTGTTCAAAGATGGGAATGGTTCCGCATTGTAAAAGAACTCTGAGCGAGACAAACGTGCCTGTGGTTCCGGAAGTAGGTGTCTTTGAAGTTAAAGGGTTGTGCACAGATCATTGCACTATTGCTCATGCGTGCATCTTGCATGTTTACGTCAGATCTCTGCGTGGAGATGCTGTGATCCTTAGTGAGCCAAAATATATAGAAAGAACAATGTGTTTGGTCTTCAGAGATCTCCGGCCTTTCTCCCCTTTATTTCTGACAGTCTTATCTCAAATTATCATGGGCTTGAAATAAGGGAGTCAAGGCCAAATATCAGATTCTTTAGAAGTCAAAATCTCCGTAACAATAACACACCCTGTCCAAATAGAGTCCAGCCTTCGTTCAGCAAACAGTGTGTGAAGGCGTGCGTGCTAGCCTCACTCAGTCTTTACAGAAAGAACCGCTGGGTTCTCTGTGGGCGGGCACAGCGCTCTGTACACAGGGACGGTGTTGCAAGGCGTCTGCTTCACCACCAACTCTTTCCCACACTGTGTTTTCTAATAGCCCGAAGCAGCTTTACTCGTACTGCCTCATCTTTGAAATATCGCGGCTTTTAAAGCCTGTGAATTGTTACAATATATAAAAATACCATGCTGGGACTCTAAAACTTACGAAAGTACAATGTGACATCAGAGAGGGCCTCATTACAAAGTTGTTTCTTTACACTGAAACAAAAAAAAGAGCTTAAAGTTTTTGAAACTGGATTTTGTTGCAGCACAAGGTCCAGAAAAGTAGCGCTCTCTTCTTGAGATCAGGAAGTGTTACAAATGTTACAATAAGGAAGTGTTCTAGATGATCGGTACTTTAATGAGAAAATATTGCTGTATTTTGGAAACATAGTCTTGTTTCAATGATATTTTTCCTCAAACTGGCTAACCACCAGCTTGACTAGATGAATAGAGTTTAGATGTGCTGTAAAAATAAAACATTTCATTAAACATATTTTGCCTTGCTTTCAAACCTTTGCTTTCCTGGTGGAGGTTAAAGGGGAATGGGTAAGTCTGTGTAACTGTCAGGAAGTCTGCATCTTATTAAATGTTTTCTTCTTTTAAATCACTTTAATTCTGTGTAAGTACACATATCTTTGGGTGTTGTCGTGGCAGTAAAAATACGTTTTGAGTTTGTGTAGTAGGTTTTGCTTAAAAAAAAAAAAAAAAAAAGAGGTATAAAAGTTTGTGTACCGGATTTCTCTTTGCCAGATTCCATTTAAGGCCTAACTTGAAGGCTCTGTATTTGGCAAATTATAAGGTTAAGTCTCCATCTCAGGCTACAGACAAAAATAAGTTCCAAGTAGTTTAAACATAAAAGTTAAATTTCTTTAAAAGAAATTTTTTTTTTTTTGAAAAAGGAAAATATGGGAATAATTTCCTGGCAAAGAAATACCTTCCTGAGTTAAAACCAGAAGCCATAAATGGTAAAAATGGACAGATTTGACAATATAAAATAATTAAAACTTGTATATTGCAAAATACATCCATATTATATAAAGACTCCTAAAAGTTAATATGAAAGAAACCCAAAACTTACAAAACTTGTCCAAGGATATGAAGAGATATTCACACATGAAGAAAAGTATGTGATTTTAAAAATATACAGAAAGAGCCTTTATCTCACTAGTGATCAGGAAATGCAAGTTAAAAAACCCCAGATAGCATTTTTCATTTCTCACATAAGCAAGTTTAAAGGTTTGGTAATATCCAGCTCTGTCAAGAATGCAGGAAAGTAGATCAAATACACGCTGTCAGCATGCTTATATGAATTGGCTAAGTTATTTGAAAAGCAATTTGACAATACCTGTTCAAATTTAAACTTCTGATTCCCCTTGACCCAGAAATTCTGTTATTTTCCCTCCTCTAGACTGCATTTTGGCAGATGCACAAATACATTTGTTGATGAAGGTTCACTGCAGCGTTGTTGGTAAAAACGAAAAAGGAATAGGCCCATATAAGTAAGGGAATGGTTTAAATAAATTATGATACAGCTAAGCAGGAAGATTTAAGATGTGAAAAAAAAACTGTATAGATCTACACATACAGATAAGCTCACCAGTAAAAAAAAAAAAAAAAAAAAAGGGCAGGAACAGTATGTACAGTATAATTGCATTTTGGTTAAATAAAAATCTATGTGTGTGTATATGTGAATGTTTTTATGTGTGTGGTTAAATTCTTGAAATATAGACATGAAACCATTAACATTGGTTACTGCTGGGCAGTAAAGAGGGGGCTTTCATGTTTAATTTTTTTGTACTTTTATGTTATTTTCATATTTACAAATGTACCAACATTTGTAATTTTTAATGAAACACTAAAAATAAATCCAACTTTGACTAAGTATAACAGAATGAATACCCAGTTCTGGAATGGTGTTTGCTTTATCTCAGACATCCCAAATATGTCATGAAGGATGGAACGTACAGCTAGGCATAATTTACTGGCTTGCTGAGGGGACAGAGCAGTGTCTTCTTCTACTACACAATACAGCATTACACCCCAAATGGCATTCAGCTGTATTATCTTCATGAGGTTAACAGTCGGCGCGCACACACACACACACACACACACACCACCCCACCAAAACTGACATGTGATAGTAACATTTTTTATTTCCTGGAGTTTGAGGTTATCATTTTTACATGATCATGAAAATATGTAGTAGAACATTACTATCGATCTCTTGGTTGAATAATCAGGATTTCACTTATTTTTGTGGGCACAATAACCATCAGATTCTGATTTCTCAAACTTCTTTGTAAATTAGTGGACTATTCCTGGTTAGATTTCAGAAGTCTAAGATTTCCTTTTTTAACATTGGCAACCTTGGAGGGAGCTTTAAAAAGTCTTTTGTTTTTGAAAAAAACTATCAGTCCAGTTTTCTCCAAAAAAATATTTTTTCCACGGTTGACAAAAATAAAAGTGGTATCTTGTATATAGTCCTGTTTTAAATATTGCTTATAATATAAAGAAATATAAGATGATGTCTGCCATTCATATATTTAAAGTCTTTTTAGAAAAGTAGGGAGAAACGCATGAAAAAGCCAATGTCTGATGAAGTTCTCAATGAATGCTTACTAACTGTCCTAGGAATTTAAGAGGAAAGGAATCAGAATGGACTGATATGCTCAGGGAGGAACTTTTTTTTTTTTAAAGATTTTATTTATTTATTTGACAGAGAGAGAAAGCATAAGTAGGCAGAGCGGCAGGCAGAGGCAGAGGGAGAAGCAGGCTCCCGGCGGGGCTCGATCCCAGGACTCTGGGATCATGATCTGAGCTGAAGGCAGCTGCTTAACCAACTGAGCCACCCAGGTGCCCCAGGGAAGAACTTCTTAATGGAAGCTTCTTAATTGAGTTTGACCTTGAGTTTGACAGCTAGTACTTAAATACTGTGAACATTGATGGCCTATCTTTCTGATCCAGAGGTCCCAAAATTTGGAGAGTGAATAGATCAAATTTGACATCCATGATGTATTGGAATAGCATAAGAAATCAGAAGAGGGGTGCCTGGCTAGCTCAGTCGGAAGAGCATGTGACTCTTGATCTCGGGATCATGAGCTCAAGCCCCATGTTGGGTGTAGAGCCTACTTAAAAAAAAAAATTTTTTTTTAGAAGACCTTTGCTCACTGCCATTTTGTTGAAGTTTGTCTTAAAAGCACAGGCTGATCATCTAACTCAGCAGGTCTGGGTGGTGCAGGACTGAGGACATTAGAACTGTTCATGGAGCTTAGAAGAAATAAGCGTTCTAGGGCTCACCCCTAGAGACTCTGGGCACTTTACTCCATATACAGGATTCAGAATCTTCTCCAAGTAGACCTCTTAGGCAGTCATTTTTGGGAATCACCTATCTAACCTAATGCCTTTTTCCTGTCAAGACTAATTCTAAATCATTTCTGAAACATATCCTCTTAGAAATTTCCCCCAAAAGGACACTTCTTTATCGGTTATCAGCCAATCTGCCAGTTCCATTCATCCTGAAAATTGTTTATCTTCTAATTTGGTGTTATTCATGTAACATTAAACTCATTGTTTTTCCTTGTTTTCTCTGGATGGGGATTTTTTTTAGTATAGTTAGTATCTTTTCTTTCCTGCCTTCCTTCGATTTCCATAGCCTTAACATCTGAGGTTGGCTTGTTTAGTAACAAGTGGCCATAGTATCATCATTGTTTGGAGGGACGGGTACACATCCGATTCCAGGAGTGGGCCATACGCAGCCCCCGGCCTGTTTATTATAATAAAGTTTTATTGGAATGCAGCTGGACCCATTCATTTGCATGCTGCTTTCAGCTGCTTTTGCACTGCAAGGGTAGAGTTGAGTAGTTACAACTGAGGAGAAATTTGATGACCTCTAAATTAGAGCTTTAGAAAACAATTTTCATATTCCAACCCAAAAGTTTTTGGGAAAACACTGTATTCCCAAGCTAGCAGATGCAGAAACCATGTGCTGTGCCCCCCGTACTCAGCACATCCCAGGCAGCCCCCCCAGCTGCTCTGAGTTGGTACACAGTTTAAATCTCTTTGCTGTCCTTGTTCTGTGTCATGCTTGCGAGGGGAGAGGGACTTTCTCTTTCCTTCTTTGCAACAAGGTCAGAGATTTCAGAAATCTTCATGCTACCGGAGGAATTTGGCAGCCATGAAGCATATAAACAGTGAGAAAGGAGACCGTATTATCGGGCTTCAGCCATATGTACTTGAACCTCATAGCTGCTATGTGCATTTGACTGTTGAATCCAAGCCCTGCAGCCTACAGTGTATATTAACATTCTGTAGAATAGATCAGTAACGTTCGAGACACGTGCACTGTGTCTGGGGTTTGTGTTTCCCTTTTTGTTGATGTTCCACTAGAATGATCCCCAAATGCTTTGAGGTGTTGCAGTGGGGCTAGTTAAATGAAAGTGTAGTAAGACCACTATTTTTAATATTTCAGATCCCCCTGACTTAGAGCCACCAGGAGATGAATCTACTTTATGTATGTTAAACTCCACATTATAGCCAGCCCTGTATGCCTAACTCTTTTTCTGCTCTAATCTTATGTACTGTTTTTCCACCTTTGGATTGGCATTTTGGGTCAAGTTTCCCAAATCCAGGAAGAAATATTTCTCCTTTTCATATGAGAACCTTTGTGCTTTTTCTAAGTGGTTAATTAATGTTGAGAGTGAATTTTTCTTACATCCTCTGAATCTTAAAATGAAGTTATTCGTTAAAACTAATGGATTCCTGTAAGAACAAATCAGGCTTATTGAGACTATTGGTTGGTCAGAGTTGACCAGTGAATTTCCTTGGTTAAAAGGGAAAAACTGATCTATTACCCTGAAGGATGGGGAAACTCTTGTTGGCACAGATAAGAGGCTTATATGATACCTTCTCTGCTTCCTAAGTATACAAAACACCTTTCAGCGGTGAAGCACGCTTTCTGTCTTATGAGGGGAACAGGGCTGGATGTGATCAGCTACCTGGGGTACAAGCTAGACCTGCCCAAAGGGCTTCAGATCCAATTCCAGATGTCAGTCCCAAAAGTCCTGTTAACCAGAGAAGACCCTTTGTGTCAGGGGAATGACAGTAAAACCCAGGACATAATTGAGTCAAGCAGAGGACATTTGAGGAGGTCCTACTTGGACAGACGAGTAGCAGTTCCAGACAGGTCATGATGCATGATTGAACTCCAGCCCCTTAAAGCATTGCCGCTGGCGGAAGGCAAACGCAGAGGGCCCGGGGTCCCAGGCAGGTTCCTAGACAGAGAGCGCCCCATACAGAAAACAAGGGATGGTTCCGTAAAGTGGCGTAAAGACGAGGCTCTTAGAACGGGACAAAAGCCCACATGAGAGAGCTTCAGTACAGATTTAGAGCGGGACAGCAGGAGAGGTGGCTTTTAAAGCTCTATCACTGAACACTTCTCAGATGCCAGGCAGTGCTTTAAATATTTCACAATTCTCATAGCCACCAATAATGAGACAGGTACTATCATCACTATGTGACGGATGAAGAACTTGAGGCACCGAGCAATGAAAGTTGCCCAAAGTCACCCAGCTAATAAATGGTAGAACTGGTATTTAAATTGGGGCAGTCTCCTGAGCTCTACTCTTGATCATTACCCTTCGCCTTCTGGAGGCCAGGTCACTGTGTCAGGCTCCAGTTCCTTCCTTACTCCTGCCCGACATCACCTTGGTCCTAGAGAGGTGGAGGGGGTGGGAGCTTGGCTGTCGTTGAACCTGCCCAGGAGTTGGGGAGCCCCCCGCACAATCTGGCCATGGCGAAGCTGTGCCGATGTTTAAATGTGTCAGTGTCACCAGTAAATATAAATGAAGAAGGAAAATCATTTAGCCATTTGCATTTTGCATAAAATCCAAGTGGGAAAAAATGTCCTCTTAAATCCTCATCTAGAGAAACAGTTGGGGCTGCCCAGAAAAAGGAATGTAAGCACAAAACAGTGTGGGGGAGTTGAATGAAAAGTGGCTAATGTGTTCACATCTGATGTAAGCGTTAGCAGGAGTATCAGAACTGTAAAGCAAAAAATAGAATCTCCGAAGCGGTATTGCTCTTTATCTTGGGGAACTCCTTTTTGGAGCATTCTCAGTTTTTAAAAATTGCTTTTACCCCTGACAGTAAGGGTGCCTTAAGGTGGAGCAGAGTGCCAGTATCTTCTACTCACTGACAGTTTTGTAAATAAGATCTTGAGTTAAGTCGTAAGCCATGTAATTCTACTTTTTCCACCCCGTCCCAAGCATGTTGAAAATTCAAGTATGCTAATAAACATTTACACTTACTCTGGACTGAATACAGGTAGTAGATGTTCGGTTCCATAGTTTGGAGCTTTATTTTTTTTATTATTATTTTTTACTGTATGTTTGAATGAGTTAGAAAACTGGTATTTTTTCTCTTTTTCCAAAATCACTGTTAAGGTCCTCCCTACTCATTTCTGTGATTTCTAAAAAGCAACATTAACGTCTGATGAAGTGTCCAATGTTTTACCTCCTTGGGCAGTATATGTTAAGGGATAAAAATAAGATAAGGTCTCTGATTTGATTCAGTAATGAAAATAGTTTTCTAATAGTGAAATAATTTTCCTCCAATAATAGTGAAATAATTTTCCTCCAAAGTCGTTCTCCTGTTGCTCATAAAATGGGGGGGGGGTAACTCATAAAGATAGGTAGAACCATCCTGGTGATTTTGAATGATGCTTTTAAATTAGAATTAAAATGCAAACATAAAAGCACTTGATATAATAGCCCCTGTGAGAGTTTTAAACAGCAGAAATCTGTATTCTCATGTGCACTTTTATAATATTAAAGTTAAATCTATATAAAAGAAAAACATAGGACCTTAATAAAATTGACTGTTGCCATGAATAATCTCCTTTAATTTAAATTAGATACATGATGAGAAAATTAAAGAAGAGCTTTTAAATGGCTTAACATCAGCTTTGCTTCCCGTGGAAACCATCTAAGACCGTGTTTTTATCTTTCCTATCCCTGTGCTGAACAAATACCGCTTAGTTATTAGAGATTTTGAGTACTGATTAATGTTGATTGCACCCTTTGCTTTCAGCTTTAAATCATAAACCCAAGTCAAATTATTTTTTAATAATTCCATGACCTCCCAAGTGATGAAGTCTGTCACATCACTTTCCAATTCAAGGTAACTCTAAAAATTTCAGCTATGGACCTGAGGACTTTAGGCACTTTATCTTAACTGCCATTGCTAGAAAAGGGGGGGAGAAGCTAAAAAAAAAAAGCAGAAAGAACGAGACCTTGCTTTACAACACATACTGTTTGTTCAGAGTTAATGTTTAGAGACGGTTTTCCCAGACATGCAGATGAGAACAGGGTGAAGAGGCGTCCGTGTGGTGTGTCCATCCGACAGGGTCGGAGGCTTGGGGCTTGGTCCTGGGAGAGCGCTTGGTGTCTTTACAGGTTGATTTAAAGTCTGTGACTTTTCCTGCAGGTGGACGAAAGCCAAACTGGAGAACCAGGCTGGCTTGGAGGAGAATTAAAAGGAAAGACGGGCTGGTTCCCTGCAAACTATGCAGAGAAAATCCCAGAAAACGAGGCTCCCGCTCCAGTCAAACCCGGGCCTGACCCAGCCTCTGCGCCTGCACCCAAACTGGCCGTGCGCGAGCCCCCCACTCCTGTGGCGGTGACCGCTCCAGAGCCCTCCACGACCCCGAACAACTGGGCTGACTTCAGCTCCACGTACGTGTAGGCACGCTCTTGATCTTGATTGAAAAGTTCTGACTTTTTTTATTTTTTATTTTTTTTTATTTTTTTTTTTTTAAGATTTTATTTATTTATTTGACAGAGACAGAGATAGCGAGAGCAGGAACACAAGCAGGGGGAGTGGGAGAGGGAGAAGCAGGCTTCCCGCTGAGCAGGGAGCCCGACGCGGGGCTCGATCCCAGGACCCTGGGATCATGACCTGAGCCGAAGGCAGACACTTAACGACTGAGCCACCCAGGCACCCAAAAAAGTTCTGACTTTTTTTAAACTAAAGCTTAGGCTAACATAGAAGACAAATACCGTGTTTTCTAGGATTTCGTTTTGCTGTGGATTCAGTCATTGTGACTCTTCTGCAATACACGTGTGGTGTGCAGTTCTGCTGCTATAATTATGGGCGTCTTATTTTCCAAACCCAGAATCAGGATGTACAGTCTAACAAAGGAATTTTTTTTTTTTTAGGAGAGAGAGAGAGACAGGGGCAGAGAGAGAGGGAGAGAATCTTAAGCAGGCTCCATGCCCAGCGCAGAGCCCAGCGTGGGGCTCGATCCCACGGCTGTGAGACCATGACCTGAGCCGAAATCAAGAGTCGGACGCTTCACCGACTGAGCCACCCAGGCGCCCCTCAAAGGAATTATTTTGCTTTTCAAATGTGTTTATGTCTCATAAAGACGTAAAAAGTAAATTACATTTGGGTTTGCGCTCGCACCGATGTAGTTATTTAACATTATAAAGATCACAAAATTAAAACCGTCCCTGAGCTCCAGCATGACTGGTTGCTGTAAGGGTACCACCTGTCATTACCCCAGTGGCTGGGCACGTGGCCTGGTGCTCGCTGTGGCACCGATGGGACAGAGAGACGGTGTTGAGTGCCAGCTGCGAAGCCGGCATGTTTTCCTAGGTGCCGCCTGACTTCCTTCTTGCTGGCCTCGCTGTTGTTTTTACAAATGACAGAGTGGCAGAATATTGTTGCCATTTTATCAATGAGGAAATGAAGATTCAGAGAGACTACTGTCATGTGCCTGAGGTTCGTCGCTAGGGTGTGAAGCTCGGACTCAACCACGTCTGAAGCTCTTTCCTCCCCGTCTTGTTTTTGAACTTTAGGAAGTCCCATAAGGGGTGCCTGGGTGGCTCAGTCGTTAAGCGTCTGCCTTCCGCTCTGGTCATGATCCCAGGGTCCTGGGATCGAGCCCCACATCGGGCTGCCTGCTCGGCAGGAAGCCTGCTTCTCCCTCTCCCACTCCCCCTGCTTGTGTTCCTTCTCTCGCTGTGTGTGTCTCTCTCTGTCAAATAAATAAATAAAATCTTTAAAAAAAAAAAATAAAGAAAGCCCCATAAGTCTCCGTGTGCCGCGGGTGAAAGCTGGTGCATAGGAAGGACTCACTTCTCATGGTGGCGTATGTTTCCTTCCAGGTGGCCCACCAGCACGAGTGAGAAGCCGGAGACAGACAACTGGGATGCGTGGGCCGCCCAGCCCTCGCTCACCGTCCCCAGCGCCGGCCAGCTAAGGCAGAGATCAGCATTTACTCCAGCCACAACCACTGGCTCTTCTCCGTCTCCTGTCTTAGGCCAGGTAAAGGCTGTCAGGGGGAGTGTGAAGACCCGGCCCGCTGTACCCAGTACCAGCACATTTGGCAAGTGCTTCTGGACAGTGTTATTTGTATGTATCTGGGTCAGGTGGCCGTGTGGATTCAGGTCACGTTTTCCCAATAGCGTTCAGGAGCCTGGAGAGTTCGGAGGAGGGTAATCTCCTGCACAGATTGACCAGAAAAGCTTCCCTGAAGAAGGGGCATTTGAACAGCATCTTGCTGTGGGTAGATTTTATTCGCAAGTGGAGCGGGCTGGCCTCACAGCCAGCAAATACCGTGAGGAGAGGCTTTAAGGTAGGAGATCAGAGTGTTTGGGGAAAAGCTTGGGCCAGTCGATTTGGGGAGACCAGTGAGTATATATCGGAAAAGATTGGCTGATTACAGGTGAACAGGATAAAGTAGTTAATTCTGAATATTACTACTCCATACAGTAAAGCAGTCATTGACTTAAAGCAGTAAAGATAAAGGAATGTCTATAAATGATCAAACAGAGCAAGTGCCCATTGGGCAAGCATTTGGGGGTGGGGGGACAGCTTCTGACCTGGAGCAGGTTCGTGGGGAGGTGCAAGCAGAGGACATCGGGCAGGAGCGACCGCTAAGCAGGACCAAGTCACACTCCTATTGGAGCCAAAGGAAAGGAGAGTGGTGGGGGATTGAGGGAAGGATTTGACCTCAGAGAGAAACGGGGGCACAAAGAGAAAGTGATTTTTAGTTGGAGGAGCAGGTTGTAGATGTGTTTAGTTTAAGGTGAATGTGGGGCACCAGGTGGGCCCATCCAGCGGGCAGTCGGAACGTAGATCAGCTCTGAGGCCACGTATGAGCTCTTCAAAAAAGAGAACAGAGCGAGAAAATGGAAAACAGGCAGAGTGTGTGTGTTCTGCAACCCAGGAGAGGAGGAGGAGCTCCTGCCCGGAGGGGTTCCTTCCCTTTGCTTCTGTCCCGGCTTGGCTGTTTGCAGAAAGGGGGGTGGTGACCAGGCCAAGAGAGCAGTCAGTGTGGCTAGAAGAGTGACCTGGGACCTGGGACGGAGTAGGATAAACCCATGGCGAAGAGTGGGGGAGGCAGAGAGGGTGAGCGAGTGAAGAGGTTTGTGACCCCGGAATCACGGGAGCAGAGCGGAGGGAGGGCACCGGGGAGAAAGGGACCGCAAGTCAGGCCCCAAGAACGCCATGGTGGGGGGTGGGAAGCGCATGCAGGGTGCAGAAAGAAGACAGGATTCTTCTTCTGGGAGAGGGAGGGTGAAGAGAGACTGGAGAAAGATAAAGGAGAAAAAGGAATTCAGGTGGCACAGTGTGGCCACCTTCTCGGGAGGGGATCCTGAGGGCTGCGGAGTGCACAAAATCAGCCAAGAAGAGTGAAGGATTTCTGGGCGGGATTTAACCTGAATCTCTAACTGGTCGTCCCTGCACTTTATCTCAGCTCCCTGCAGCCATACGCCAGTCTAGTCCAGACTAGAAATAGCAGTAGAAAGAGAAGCTGCTACTACAGTAATTGTTACTACCACAGCAATACTAGGGATAGATTCATTAAACTTCCTTAACCTTTTAGAGGAAGTGTTTCTGTTTAAAAGGTGGAAACTGAGGCCTAGGGAGATGAAGCGGTTGTCCAGAGTCACGAAATTACTGACACACGTAGGGTTCCAACCCCGAGTCTAGGCTGTGTCCGGTCCCAGGCTGGGTTATTCGCTTGTGTCCGCGGGGAAGGGTTGACAAGGCAGGCACGGGGAGGGCGTCTCGGGGGAAGAGCTCATGAGACGCCAGGGAGGGCCCACGCAGTCGAAATGGCTAACCTGGGGGCCCAGGCTTGGCAGAAGAATGAATGGAAGGAACTGGGAGGATTGGACAGCACAAAAGAGCCACAAGCCAGAGGACTGTGGGGATGGGGGGCTCCCGCAAGCCGAGGGAAGAAAATGGGAGACAGAGAATCTGTGAGACTTGAAGGAGGTGTGCAGCCGAGATGGGAGGGAGGAGGGACGTGGTAGGTTTGAGAAGGTGAGGACCCAGGAAGACCAGGGGTGGAGAGGTTGTCAACATGGCTGCTGGGGCTATTTGACATATAAATGCTCACCATCGAGCGTCGATAGGACAGTGTCCTCTAAAGGCAAGTACGCGTTGGTCCTGAAGGAGCTGTCTTTGGGCATCATCTTTTGTGTCTGTCCGTTTTCACACATGCTTGAAAGTTGACGTTGTATTTTTTTAGTATTATCTTAAGATACTGTAATGGTTTTACGTTACAGTTTTTAAAAAGATAATAAATGGCTCACCCTGCCTTTCCAGCCTCATCTCCTACTACACCCCTCCAGGAAACCAGGCTCCATGCACCCCAGGACTATGCTCCTCTTCCTGGACCCTTTGATGTGCTCCACCTCGAGGCCTTGGCCTGTGCCGTGCCCTCGGCCTGGAGCGCCCTTCTTCCGAAGCCCTAGCTCGCCCAGTCCTTCTCGCCCTTCAGGGCCCAACTCCAGTGCCGCAGCCTCCGTGACATTGTCCCTGTTGCCCGTGGGCAGAATTCAGTCCTCTTTCCTCTCTCTTCCCACAGTGAATAGTTGGAGCCTCTTTGTGGTAGATTTCATTCTACCAGGTGGTCTAGATCATTGCGTGTATCTCTTTCTTCCCCATTAATTGTGAAGTCTTCACTAAGAATAGCGTACTGTCCCTTTTTATGGTTAATAAAGTCTTTTAACCTAAATTATTTTGAGCAGGCAGCTGGCATTTCATTCCTCTTTGTAATAACCCCACGTTGCCTTTGCATGTAGATGTTGGCATGGATCACAATGCGTTTATGCCCCGTGTCCCTAAAAAGGAACTAAAACAAGCGCAGTCCAACGCAGGGCATATTTTCCTGTGTCCACCTAAACTCAGATATCAGTTCATTATCCCTTGAGGTTCCATAAGCTTTCTGCTCCCCTATCAATCTTCCACCAAACGCCTGAATCCGGGGGAGGGGTACCCTGGGCCCCTCGGGGGTTAAAATGGAACCAAATAGAAAAGGCACACAGCCAGGTGCCACAAAATAAATACGACCTCCTGGCTTGTTGAAAGGGGGCGTTTGAGATGGCCAGACAATGGCCTTGTGATTAGGCTGGCAGGTTTGCGCCTCTCCTTTTGAAGAGAAGCCATTCCTAAGACGCAGGGACGCATCCAGTACCCATGCTACACCGAAGCAGGGTCCTTTGTGGCCAGGTGCATGTGTGTGTGTGTGCGTGCGTGTGTGTGTGCGTGCGCTTGCTGGGAAGGAGCGTCCTGAGTCGGTGACCGATCACGGAGTAACGAGAGGTCCTTTATGTGTTTCCGCACAAGGGCGAGAAGGTGGAGGGACTACAAGCCCAAGCCCTGTATCCTTGGAGAGCCAAAAAAGACAACCACTTAAATTTTAACAAAAATGATGTCATCACCGTCCTGGAACAGCAAGACATGTGGTGGTTTGGAGAAGTTCAAGGTCAGAAGGGTTGGTTCCCCAAGTCTTACGTGAAACTCATTTCAGGGCCCATAAGGAAATCTACAAGGTATTTTTGTGTTTGTCTGCTTCTGTTAGATGAAAATAATGTTAGGCATTAAAGTATTGCTTGCATTGGTTAAGATTCACAGATGGGATTGCAGGATAATTTTGTCTTCCAGATCCTCTAACGCCAGAAGTTAGGGGACGTGCCAGCAGAAGGCAGCCTCTGACAAATAAGTGGTCATTTTTTTCCCTTTCACTTGTGGAAGGCTGCGTATCTTGTTTTTCAGTGACTTCTGTAACATTCTGAGACCTGGAACATTCGTGTGGCTCTGTCGGAGAGTAAGCCTCTCTTCGTGCCTGGTACCCAGTACTTTTGCCAGATACACACGAAGACTTAGAGGCCCAAAGCTTTTGGGGAAATAATGGAAAGAATGAATTCTCTCTTTTTTGTTAGGAACCTTAGAGCATGGTTCCTAATTTAACGTAAAGGTTGTAGATCAATTATTGGAGTCATGAAGTTGCTCGAAACAAATTATGAGCTTCAAGGAGATAAAAATAGCAAAAAATCGTGGACGAGCATCTATCCTTCATGCTTGGAAATAGACCAGTACGTGGGCTGCGCACCCAGCGTAGCAAGCGCTGAAAAACAAGAACACAGGCTCAGAATCCTGCCTCTGCTGCACGTTCCGTGTTTTCACTTAGCCAAGTGCACCTGTTTCTGCTGTAGATGGTCCAGAGTTTTAAACATTAAGCAGTTTTAAAAAGAAAAAAAGGAAAAGGAAAATCAATGTCATTTGTATTCATTTCTTTGAAGATAAAAATTAAAATACTTTCTCTTCCCACCTCTTCCAGCATGGATTCTGGTTCTTCAGAAAGTCCTGCTAGTCTGAAGAGAGTAGCTTCACCAGCAGCCAAGCCAGCCGTCTCAGGAGAAGGTGAGAGAACCTGAGGCTAATGATGCTCTTCAGGAGGGTCGAGGGGCTCACGTCACAGAAACAGTAAATGTTTGAAATGAGATGGAATTTCCCTTTAAAATAGGCTACATTGATTGATGCTCGGTGTGTTCCAGTCTGAGGTAAAATGCAAGGTTAGATCTTCACAGAAGCAGAGTACCTCATGGAGACTTTCAGAACAGTATCCGATAATATTGATCATAAACACCGAATCTTGTCATGATATTGGTCATGAGCCCTTTGACCTTTGAAGGAGGCCCATCGGCGTCGCTTGGGATCCCGTTTCGTGAGCATCTCTGTGGCCAAATTGTGGTCGCTGCTTCCCCGAATAGAGCCCATTCCCCACTGACCCGTACATCAGTGTGTTGTTTTAAAACTGTAACGACATGGTCAAGTAAAGCTGTCCCAGCAAACTCTGCCACCTCAAAGGAAACAGAGAAGCTCCGATTTTCGGTTCCTGGGAAATAACCACACCAGATGACTTAGGCCTAAAGATGTCATTTTGAGTGTTTCTGACACAAATAATTAATTGCTTTATTTCCTGGTCTACCTCATGAACATAATTCTGAGAATTGCCCATGCCGATACATGGCAAGGGGTTTAAAATGAACGAAACCCACATAACCTGGGCTCTTGTGGTAAAAATCTCCCGTCTTCCCTGCATTCAGTGTAGCCGTTCTCATCTAATTGTAGAGTGCTACCTGAAGCTGACGGGCTTTCCACCAGAAGTCTGATCAGTGCTCCGAGTTAACAGAGGTCTACCCAGTTGTATACTAATTTTTCATGGGTTCCTCAAATAAATTCTATGAATATAGCGTGTTTGATTTAGTTTCTTCGCCATCATGGGGTTGTTGCATTCCTCAGAAAGTGTGCCTGGTGAAAGACAGAATTATGAAACCAGTTGTTTGAGTGGAGACAGCAAGGATTAAGGTTGTTCAGTGGTCTTTCAGACTCACGGTAACACAGTTAACTTTTCCAAAAGGAATTCAAGAAGCAAAATTTTTGTAGTTTATAGATACAGCTATAAACCTCATCACTGCCAAACAAATCCAGCATTTTATTGGATCCCTTTTTTGCTGTTCCCACCAAAACGATCATTAGCAGAGTTCTGTTTATACACTCTTATCAGTCATCTGAATGAGTGTTTATCCACTGTTAGCAGAACGAGGCACAAAAAAGCTCTTTTAAACACAGCGTGTGTGGTCAATTTTGTACAAAGCAAATTTTACGATTCTGCCCAAATTCAGTGTATTCTCTCCAATTAAGTCTCCTCGGAGGGCTGAAGTTTATACCCTGGCTCTCGCCTAGTAGCCATGTACTCTTGATCATGCCTTCAGTTCCTCATCTGTAAAGTGGGCATACTGACCACCCCTTCAGGTAGGAAGTTATTACAAAGGATTATGAGATCATCTGTGTCAAGCAATTAGGAGAAGTCAGTGAGCGTCCGCTAGTGTTCTTGCCTTTTTGCCCCGTTTCCTGGATTGTTGATGGAGAGCCACTCAATGCAGTAGCATTCTCGTCTAGGAGCAGTGCCGATGAATGATGAATGCTGATTTGTTTTGAAACATGTACAGAGGCCTCATCCCTTGAGGCCTCACTATAGAGGTCACAGGTGAACCACACACATGTTTAAAGTTGGGTAACAGAGAGAGATTCTAATCCCCGCTGACATTTATTACATCCATTGTCAGATGATTTAGGAATATTAGGAAACACTAGGAGAGAGATCGCTGGCCTTCCGGAGTGGCGTGGAAGAACTTGGCAGTTGACGTTCAGAGAAAAGCTGTCTGTATATATTAATGAGCCCCTTATTCATACTGCATTAAAGGCAGTCACATTTAAAGTAAACCATACGCCAGAATAAGTAGATTTGTCAGTTTGGGTAGCTCTTAGAATGCCGGCTTGGGAATGGCCAGTGCCCTGTGGTAAATGTCTCCGGAGGCGGTCCCCACTGAGCCCGGCAGCAGCGTCCCAGATACCAGTGTGCATCGCGGGGCAAGCAAAGCCACAGTCTTTTCCAGTCCCCTTGGTACCTTACAGTGCAGCCGTAGGTTCAGCCAGAGTTCATGCTTCTGAAGTTTCGTAAGCATTTTGAAAGTAACTTCAAAATTTGGATCCTTTTTTGAGCAAGTGACTTCTCAGTGCAGGAATCACTGGGAAAAGTATTGATCTGCCAAGGATCCTATCTTAACTGGCCGAACACGAGCTAAGGGGCAATTAACAAAGCAACACCAAAAGGGAAGGATCAGAGTACTGAGAAATCAGGAGAAGGAATGATATTAATGAAAAAAAGAATGTCCTTGGCAAGAGCGCCAGACTTTGATTTCCACGTGCGGGAAATCATTTTTCCAGTTTTAACTGTGGAGGTGTGCGTTTGCCGCACCGGAGGACTCGAGACAGAGAGGCTCCTGTTCTCCCTCGAACATTCGGGTGATCTTGTGTCTGCCGTGGGGTCCGCACCCCACCAGCCTGCAGGCCGAGCTGCTGAGGCTGACTCAGCCCTTGGAGGGCTCTCCCACAATGGAGAGCTGCCCACATTAGCACTCGCATTAGGGGGCTTTGTGTTTTTTTGTGTTTGTTTTAGCTTTCATTAGTACCCCCTGCAGAGGCTCTTAAAATGAGCCAAAAGGATTCCTCCAAACTAAATTTCTGCCTATTAATTAACGTTAGGCTCTGAATTTAAGGGCTCCCTCTGAAGTTTTAGCCAGAAACAGGCATCATCCATCATAAAAATGAACTTTCTGAGTAGGTAAATGGTGATTTTTTTTTAATTACTTTTTTAAAAATACCCAAAGGCCTAGGATAAAATGGAGAAAAAGTGGAAGCAAGAAACCTAGGTTCAGCTTTCTGTAAATCTTTTATCCAGCACCTAGTGTAGCGTCTAGAATTTTGTGTCTAGTGATCTTTCGGAGAGTGTGATTTGGTTTCTGAGCCTTAGCAAAATCAACTTTTTGTAATTCAGAAGAAAATTTTCCTGGAATGCACACCCTTCACATGCAAGATGTAAGGAACATTAGTTCTTATCCTTTAAAATGTGAATAATAAAATGTAAGAAACTGAGATTTCTTTTCAACTTGTTCAGAAAGATTTGCTTATTTTCTGGGATTGAGTAGACATTACTTTTGTTACCAGTCCACCTACCTGTTTGTGCACCTGAATGACAAGTAGATGCCCGTTTTTAACTAAATAGCATATATCTTTATTTTGTGTTTTAACAGCTTCCGACCATCTGTGTATATGGCACAAAAGGGCCTACGTTTTCACTCAGGCGCTTGAATGATGTACAGCATGTCTTATTTAATTTACATAAAGGTTATACTGTATCTAAAACTTTTTCAGAATTGTGACTTGGTACCCTTCAAATGGAAATACAGATATCTATGTGGGTACAAGAGCCTGTGTGTCTGTGCATCTAAATCAGCGCTCAGCACGACTACTCAGTAAATGTTAGTTAAAAGTAAATGTAAAAGCCATTTCCACTTAAAATTATAGCTCACTCCTGGCACTCAGGGTTGGTAGACATGCAGTTGGCCTTTTTTGTTCACATGGCTGGGTCTTCACAGGAATTGTCCCCTGTCTGCAGTTACTGAATGTTTATGTGCAATTGGGGAATTTGGAGCCCAGGGTGTTCTGCAATTCTGTTTTATCTGTGCACAAGCCTTTCTCTTGAATGGATCTTATCCTAACCTCCTTATTCATAAACTTGCATTTGCAAAGCTGTCTGGGATTTCTGTAAACAATCAAGCTCTCTCCGTATCTCAATATTTCTCCCCACCAGAATTTATTGCCATGTACACTTACGAGAGTTCTGAGCAAGGCGATTTAACCTTTCAGCAAGGGGATGTGATTTTGGTTACCAAGAAAGATGGTGACTGGTGGACAGGAACAGTGGGCGACAAGTCCGGAGTCTTCCCTTCTAACTATGTGAGGCTTAAGGACTCAGAGGTAAACCCACATTAACTGTTTCCTCTCCCTTTCTGTGTGGTGATTCTCTTTGCAGAGTCACAATATTTGACGGTGGAACGCTTTGATGGGTTTGGCTAAGTTCCGGGAATTTGACAGCAAATAACGGAGTGACCCGTAACTGTTTGAACTTGTCATTTGGTGCTGCAGGGTAGGCCTTGGCTTCCCACAGGCAGAAGATCTCCCTGGGGCCGAGCGGAGGCCGGTCTGCACCAACTGCATTAATGTTCAGTATTCATCTCTGTTCTGCATGTGACTGACTTAGGATTTGGAGTGAACGTGCTTGATTAGGTATTCGGGGTCACTGATCTGGGATACTCACAGAAGGGCACACAGCAGTATTTCACCCATGTAAACAAAAGGATTTTGGTGATTCGGGCCCCAGAATATTGGGCAGTAGAGAGTTTCTAAAAGTTACATTTTTACCTACACATTAGGAAGACGTAAGATTTAAGAGATCAATAACACTTTGGGCTGGGCCTTAGTATCTCAGGCCCATTGATCAGGGCCTGAATTTATTCTAAATGCTATTAGCCTTATAAATCAGAAATGGCTCCCATTGCTGTTACATGGGGCCCTAAAAATCCAGTTACAGAGCAAGTGGTCTTGAGATGGTGCGAGTTTAATGAGATGGTGGGGTGGGCCCACCGCCAGAGTATTGGGAGCCTGTCCCATAGTGGCCAGTTTCAAGTTAGTGGAGAATTTCAAGGTAAATCAGTGTAGTCATTTAACAGATCCATTGCACATAAATAAACCAACAAGAATTGGCTTTTTTTTTCTTTCTTTCTTTCTTTCTTTCTTTTTCTTTTTCTTTTTTCTTTTTTTTTTTTTTTTTGTTTTAACACCGGCTTTCTCAGGTGTAAGCCAGGGGGACAAAGCTCCTCTGTCATCGGCATACCAATATGAGGGTGGACCTTGAGCTGGTCCATAGGCCCCGGTACCTGCAGCTGCTTTGGGAGCCTGGAGCCTGGCCCCACGCTGCAGTCCTTCGCCTTCCCTGCGGTGCCCAGGAGTAGTTTTTATTTTGCTTGGGTTTTGTTTTTTCAGGGAGTGTCATTTTAGCTGTTTTTGGGGGGTTTTTTTGTTTTGTTTTTGTTTTGTTTTGTTTTTCCTTGCTGTGGTCTTGAGAGCAGCTTACTGAGACGCCCAGGGAGGGATTTGCATGAGTCTGCTTACCCTTAGAGGATTTGGCAGAATCCTGGTAGAAAGAAAGTGCTTCTCTCGGGTAGGACAGCCGGCAAATTGTCCTCTGCAGACCCGGAGAGGGGAGAACTGGGCTTCTCGCCAGGAATCCAGTCAGATCCAGTAAGAATCATACAGATGATATTTCAGGAGTGCAGGGGGAAAACTAAAACTAAACTCAATTTCTACCACTAGGCATGAAGACTCTTAGAGTGACTACCTTTTGGATCAAGTAAAAGACCAAAGCCATTACTTACATTGTATTTTGATAAATTACAGTTTTCTATAAAACACACACACACATACACACACATCTGAAATCAGTAAGTTGAAAAACAACCTGACATTTTTTAAAGGTAAGCTGAGTTATAAGGTGCTTTTTAACCACGGTCTTAAAATATGAGCCACAGAAGAACCAACAGTGCTAGAGGTTTTGGACAGACATTTAGCTACATTATTCCACAATGATGAAAAAACCTAAAAAGTCAGCTCTTTCCTTCTCCTTGGATACAGAGTTCAGTGTCTAAGGAAAATTTCTTAGACCCAGCCTCAGATACCAAAATTGCCCCTCTGGGCATGGGGGAGGTTGTGCTATCCTGGCTTCCCTTCTCTGTAGGAGAAAGGCCGTGACCCATACCCGTGCTTTTCTGCTGCAATCCTGAGGGGTGCCAGGACAGAACCTGGCCCTCTGATTATGTCTTAGTTTATGTGCTGGCTGTGGTGTTAAAGAGGGAGCACACCGGGGCGCCTGGCTGGCTCAGTCGGTAGAGTATGTGACTCTTGATCTCGGGGTCGTGAGTTCAAGCCCCAGGTTGGGCATAGAGCCTACTTAAAAAAAAGCGGGGAACACACTGAAGCTATGTGGACTCTATCATTGGGTGTTGCCAAAAATGCCTTGTTCCTTTTATGGACTATAGGGAGTGTATTATAAGTCCATACTGGGAAAGTTAACTGGTCATTTGGAATCTTGTTTCATTAGTATTCCTTCATTTTGATATGCAGCCTATAAAAATAGCAAGGAAGATTGGTATTACATATTTTGTTAACACAGAAATTGTAATCAGAGTAAAAAATTGTAACTCAAGCTTTCCGTGGGAAATGCTTATTAAGTTTCAATAACCAAAATGAAGGGACTATGATAAGTTAGATAAATGCATGTTTTAATTCTTACAGTAACTGTCATTTACTTTATTAAGCCTTTTTTGTTTTGTCTTGATTGGAATACCTAATTTACTGCCAGATAGGGACTCAAGAATGAAAATCAGTTCAGAATAAAGCACTCAGTAATGACAGATTAGTCTGGCCCCTGTCCTGACTCGAAGTCCCTGTTGGCTTGTTCAGCTAGTTTAAAATTCCATGAGTATCCATAAAGGAATTCAACCCCAGAGCACTTTTGGAACAATTAATAGTTGCCAAAAACAAAAAAAACTATGGTCTGCTTCTATGGATTGTGCATCCAGCATTGATAGAGGAATTTCAGTGTTTAAACAGTGTAAGATTTGGGCGGAAAGGATATGCAGGAGAGTGGCTTCCTCTGTGGATAAAGAGATGAATGGGATGGGGGGAGGCGTGTTTGAATTGCCACTATGCTGTTTCCGTTATTTAAAAAAAAAAAAAAAAGCTCTAAAGCAAGTGTAGCAAAATATTAATATTTTACGTAGTAAATCTGGGTGTTAGGCTCTTGGATGTCAGAGTCTCTGTAGTTTTTATGTGTGAAATAATTTAATAACCATTTGAACATAAGCAGGAGCTCAGTGTTTAGGACCTAGACTAATAGTCGTCCTCGCCTGGCACCCCCTGTTGGGGTTGACCCAGGGACAGGATACACCTGTGCTACCCATAGGCAGCTCCCGAGCGCTCTGGGATGCTACGATACCACATCCTGTGCTCACTTTTCTCTGAAGAAGAGGGTGAAAGCTGTGTGTTGAAAGTACTCATTTTATCCCATGTTTTCCTGATACCCATCTGATGGCAGCAGATACGGTGCTGCCGTGTTCCCCCAGAATGAGCAGGGGGCGCCGGGGGCTCGAGCGGGCTTGTATCATCATTGATCGTGTTTTAAGTTGCATGACCAAAACTCTGCAGTATGCAAATGAGACCTTTTGCTCTGTTTTAAGGGCTCTGGAACTGCTGGGAAAACAGGGAGTTTAGGAAAAAAACCTGGTAAGTTACAAACCCTGATGCTTATTTTTCAATGTTTTGAATGTAATTGATAGTTGCTCCCAATCTTTGTTCGGAGGGCCGGAAGATTTAAGAGATCGATAACACTTTGGGCTGGGCCTTAGTATCTCAGGCCCATTGATCAGGGCCTGAATTTATTCTAAATGCTATTAGCCTTATAAATCAGAAATGGCTC